CCCCAAAACCCCAAAACCCCTCTTTTATAATTCAAATTATTTTGGTTAACATTTAACAAAGTAAATTACTTAAAAATTACAATTAACTTGCAAATGGTCTCAATTGTGTTCTTGCTAAGTTTGTTGAGATCAAATAATTCTTACAACTATCAAAAGCGAAAACTTTAGCTCTTAAAGACCTATTGTTTGTCAGTAGGACATACTCCTCTTATTTGAAGCCACTGATCGATACATTTTCGGTGGTAGATATGTCGGCACCTAGGCAGAATTCTAATCTCTTAGTTTGGAAGGAATCTAGTTAGACATATCATACATTCTGAATACTTTTCTAGTAATTTATCAATATCTGAAGGAGCCCCGTTTAGAATTTCATCTAGAAAGTCTAATCCAGTTGATTCGAATATTTATGTCTTTTGCTCTTCTTTTATTTTTTCTTCTTCATCACTAATGGTTGAACTCTGCTTTTCTATAAGTATGTCAAATTTTTATTCAGATTTTTATTGTTTTATTTCCTTCTTCAAATCTCTTTTTCTCTTTGTATCCAATTTTTTATTTGACATGTCTTTCTGCCTAGGAAAGTCCTGTTTTTAAAGAACATAACTGTTTAATTGACTCAATTATTCTGCTTTTAATGGCATAACCTTTGGACCATCTGTATTTCTAGCAGCAGCCACCCTTTAAGTTCTTGGCATTGATTAATTTTATACTATTTCCTCGATCATTCATATGTCATCACTAGTAAGTTCTCGATTTTAAAGATCTCTTATAATATCATTAGTAATTCCACTATTTTAATGTTAATTCTCATCCTAATCATTGAGTTCACTTTGGTTGTTCATACCAATTAGTCTTTCTGCCTCTTTACGAAATATTCTTTCTCTATCTTGTCTTGAGCATAAAAGTTTAGTTGAATTATCTCTCGGATTATAGCAATAGTAATTATGATCTAATATGAATAATGAAGACTAGGGGTGATCTTTAAATTATTGGGATTCTCTCTCTAGTTTCAAATACTTACTAAAAATTAAAGATACTAAAATATTTTTACCTTAGATCTACATGATTTTAAATTCTTTACTTGGCCTATCCTTCTTTAGTACTTGTATCAATTTAAGAAGTAGAAATTTCTGGTAAATAAATTGGCGAGTTTGCATTGTCTGATGAAAAATTGGCGCTTTAATAATTCTCAGGTGACATAGACCCACTACTGCAAAAAGTATTCTAATAATTGTTTTTTAATTCTGAGGATGGACTAGATTATGTAATTTTATTGTTATTGAAACTCAGTAATTAACCTATTGAAGATTAAGGCTTTATTTACTCTGTTGGATTATTAGAATGTAAATTTTAGTTGCTCTTTGTTTAAATTTAATCATTTTCATTAATATTTACATCTCTTATAATCTCTTGATTGTCAGTTGAAATATTCTATGATTTTTCTTGTAACTAAGACTAGCCTTCCTATTCTTTTAGCTTCTCTTGCTACTATTGCAATTTTCTAAGATTCTCAAGATATCTGGACGGAAGCTTTCGTGCATTCATTTTGAGATCTGATTAATTATTAAAATAAATTATTTTAAATTCTTTTGATTAGCCTGATAATTGCATGATGGGGTTTTGGGGTTTTGGGGTTTTGGGG